ACCCTTGTTACACTGCAAAAGAATATGATATTCAAGGGTTTGCACTATAAAAGAATCCGGTATCCAGAGGGTTAAAATTCATTTACCGGTATTATTTATTATTATTGCTGTTATTATTACCGTTATTATTATTATTATTATTATTATTATTATTATTATTATTATTATTATTATTATTATTATTATTATTATTTATATTTATTATTTATTATTGTTATTGTTATTATTGTTATTATTATTTATTAATTATTATTATTTATTTATTGTTTATTAAATTTTGATTTATCAATCTAGAATAACAATAATGAGCCATAGTTCAAGTAGATTGTGTGATAAAATTTATTAATCATTTGTTATTTTTATTATTATTATTATTAGTATAATTATTATTTATTATTATTATTATGGAAGCCAGTGGGCATATAAAATGGGAGCCAGTGGGCATGGCCCTGAGCCGATGGGGCCATGCCCACTCGGGGCCACGCCCACTCGGGGCCACGCCCTTTTCCAAACATAAGAAAAAAAAAATAATGATCTTTAGAGAGCATAAAGGTGTTTAAATGTTGGAATTTTGTCTTCAAAGGAATAGTATCACAAAGATATTTCAGTTAGGCCTATTAGACATAGATTGCGCACGGCTACAATTAGTCACATAATGTTTCTAGGCTATGCAGATTCATCTTCATCTCTCTCGCCTTCTAGTGTAAATTCTACTCTAGGTCCTCCGAATCTAGAGACAGACCTAGACCTACAATATTTTGTTGACTTGTAAAATTTAAATTGTGACGTTAACAACAAATCTTCTTTACGGTATTTCATGAATTAGTTATAACCAGAGAGTTAAGAATGCCAACAATATTGTGTTGGAAAACCGAATCTCAAGTATTGTATTTGCAGAGCCACATGCATGAGTTGTGGGCTACTCAGAACTGTCCATTTTCCAGCGGGGTATACATTTTTTTAACATGACATGATGCTTTTTGTAAGTAAAGTTTTCACCGGTTAGGCAGTGGTTAAACCTAACATGTTTGGGAATTCCCACCGAATATTGGTACGAAAACAACGTACATTCAATCAATAAAGGTTGTTTTTATCAAACAACGTAAATATGATTTAGCTTTAGTTTAATGTAACACTTGATAGATTTGAAGAATATAAAGAATTTGCTAAAGGTAGACCAGGCCCAATTAGGCTATGCCGAGCTGATTAGGCTAAGCTGCCCCAGCCATCACGGTAAAAGTGGCCGTCCTAAATAATTGTTGGTCGGTCGGCATGCTGGCTAAGCTTATGGTCCCCCATTGGGGTTCAAACCCAAGCCCTTCTGATTTCCGTTCGAATACTCTACCAACTGAGCTCTGAGGCCAAGTGGTATACTCAGGATACTCTTTGGGATTTTGCCATTTGGCCATGTTTTTTTCCTCAAGGTATTGCATAATATGCAATAAAAATATAGTGAATCACATGAAAGTAACTGGTGGTAATTAAAGAGGATAATAAATATTTGAGAAAAACGTATGTCCACATCGGGATTCGAACCCAAGACCTTCTCATTGCCGTTTGGATACCCTTGGATTTTCCAATTGTGAATTTGAAGGATTGGTGTAAGAAAAAAATGGGAAAAAATTTAATAATTCAAGCAAGACATTGAATTGCTTATTGAATCTAAATTGCAATGACTGTGCTTCATGCCATTGGTGATGTAACAAGCATTCTTATAATATGATAATGCTACATTTATCATTTATTCGAAAGATCTAAAAATTTCAGTTTAAACTTTAAACTGGCATACAGTGTCCTGAAATCACATTGCGTTTGATTAAACTTGGTCATCATCCAATCGACTGAACCTTTAGGTGTAACATGTTTTCTTATATGCCTCAATAAAGAATGATAATAACATAAACAAATAAAATGGTTATATTCATTTGTATGGTAATTGTAATGATTACCATTAAAAAATATTATTAGTTGTAATTTCCATACAATTTATATTATACAGCACTATTTAACATAATAATGTGTCATTAATTTCGTAGTCCATGTCCCAGTGCCTTTAAAAAAACTTATTAACTCTCCCTTAAAAAATTGGATTTGTAATTTCAAAAGAGATTAAAGGTAAACTTCACAAACATGGTACATGGCATGTAGAAATGTATACACACTTGGATTTAGCTTTAAATTGTGTTTTTTAGAGTAACTAACAAGCAATATTAATATTTTTTTTTTTTTTTTTTTTTTTCTCAAACAGCAAAGTAAAAGTCTTGTACGGAGGGACAGAAATTTTTGACTATGAAGTCCAGTCAACTCTGCATCATGACCTACGTCTGAGTATCATCACTCTGGTTCTCATTGTTGTCGTTCTCCTCATCCTCACATCGTTCTCTCTTTGGTTAACAACTTGGGGAATTTTAAGTGTTCTTCTAAGTTTCTGCTGGGCCTTCGCTCTGTATCGCATGGTCTTCATGAAGACTGCTCTTGGCATGTTGAATGCTGTGTCTGTTTTTGTTGTAATCGGTATTGGTAAGTAAATACAGTAATGATCTAAACTGTACCAGTTACATTGACCATTAAACTGTCATATATGATTAAATTTGCCTTTTAGTAAAGATATTAAAAGCGATGAGGTCAAATTAGCTAAATTTACTACTTTCTTAAAGTATGGGTTTTGTGGGTTTTTTTTGTAATTAAATAAATGTCAAGATTACAAATTTTTCTCATTTATCTTCATTTGACATTGTACAAAAAGACTGTGTGGCCTTGTTTCCTAAGCTCAATACTGTGTCAAATATAGTGAACTTGAACTTAAAAAAACCTGAACTAGTGTGTATACCGTATACAACTGTGTATATTGAACCTGATGATATGGTAATGGTCATGATATAATAACATCATTAATAAAATTAATTAAAATAAAATTCATAATATTATGAATATTTAATAATAAAATGATAGATATAAATAATAACAAAAAATAAAGTGTACATAACTTCAAACAATATTACAAGGTCATATGAAAGGAAGTAATTTTTTTTATTAGGTTGTAACTTGCCTTTACTGTTCCAGTGACCTACATCTCCTGGAATTAAGGCTTAGGTAGGAGGCAATTGATGCGTATCTGATTGATTCAGATTTTGATTTGTTACTAAAATAATCAAACGTCCTAATACACTGACACGATATACTACAAACAGGAATGTAGATTTTATGTAATTGATATTGCCATGGCCAACAGAACAATTTCAGTGTAGATCTGGTTGAGTGGGAATTAGGATCAAGGCCCAAACAAGACACTAATCCATTGAAGAATGAATTCAGTAAAAATAACAATTGGGTTAACCACAAACAACCAATATAATTGACAATATATAGTATAGGCTGTAACTGAGGGCTAAATATTAAAACAACAAAATTATCAGCATAGTTGTTAAAATTTATTAATTTAGTTTTGCATCAATCCTACGTGCAGTTTAATTAAATTGTCTGATCTTTCAGTGGCTAGGACCGTAATGTGATTTGATCTGTTTTTGTTTAGGCGTGGATGATGTGTTTGTCTTCATGAATACGTATCGTCAAGCAAGTCACTTACAAGAGCCTGCCCTCAGGATGGGTTACACCATCAAGACAGCCGGTATTGCAACCTTCTTCACATCGGCTACCACCGCTGGCGCCTTCGCTGCTAACATGGCTTCTCAGGTTTGTGCTCTGCTTTATACTGATTATTTTTTTTTTATTTTTTTTAATTTTGAGTAATATGGCAAAGAGAAGCCAAACCAGTCACTCTTCGCAAATCCTGTTACAGAGGTAATGGCCAAAACATGCTGGAATGTCAACATTTTTCGAAATTTATTGTATTGCAATAAACTAACCTCGTATATCTATATTTCATGCTATGCTGTTATTTTCACCATTTTCAATGTAAAACAAAACCTCTTAATGATTTTGTGATGGTTTCTGCCTGAGAAATATCATAAGTTATAAACTTTGAAGGCTGATTTCTCAAATATTGTTTTTTAAACAGCTGTATGTTTAAACTCATGTATCTTTGTAACAAAATGTCGGATTTAATTGGATCTTTTACCATTTATAGCTTTTATTTTACTCTTTAACCCTGTATTAATCAATTTTTCCGATGAGTGACTGGTTAGGCTTGTCTTTGCCACATAAACATTTGTTTAGTATACAAATTATCTATTCATTTATTTTCTCATTTGTCCATTCATTTTGTCATTCTTACATTCATTCATTTTTTTGCAGATTCCTGCCATACATGATTTTGGTCTTTTCATGAGTTTAATTGTATCCTTCTGCTGGTTCACAGTTGTCACCATCATGCCATCAGCGCTCAACCTGTGGGGGCGCTATTTCCTTTGCGAATCTGCTCTGTTAGTATCTCATGTATTCCTTCTTTGATGAAATTAATATTACTTTAATCTATTATTTGTTACTATTATTGTTATTGATATTATTAAGTGCTTATTTCAATCGCTTTCGGTACAGATTGAAGAAATGTAGCGGTGGTGATGGATCATCACATTTGTACCGTGTTCTTGCTGATCATGAACAAGAGCAAGCAGTGCCCTCTAATGGAAGCGTCAACTCACAAGCAGACGACAGCGACATTCAAATGCTTAATATTGAGGATGATTGTATTCACCAAGGTAGAATTCTTAATTCTTATTTTTTATTTATTTGTTAAATTCTTGTTTAATTCTAATTGAATAATCTTATTAATTAAAGAAATATTGTTTTGATTTTCTTAATTAATTCTTATTGAATAATGTTATTTTAATAGATTTGCTTGATGATGATGATGTTGCACTTATTGATGTTTCAACGACATCACCTGTTGAGAGTTCTCGTGGCAACCAGAAGGACTGGGCCGTGTCAAATCTCAGTAAAGGGTTAGAGGTTTTTCTGGCTCAATTTGTGGCGGAGCCTGTTAAGAGATTTAGAGTTTGGGTCATAGGTGAGTTTAGCATCTTCTTCATTTTCTTCCTGAATTCTTTTTAAAATTGCCTCTGAGATATATACTTACAAATACTTGTATTTCACTAGGATTTAATTTTTTATGCAATATTTTCTGGAAAAAAAATTTAAATTATGCAAGATATCCATCATCTTCTTTCTTAGAAATTTCATTATACTGTACATAATCATTTGAAAAATGTAGTACTGTACATAATAATTTGATTGATGAATCTTAAACACCATTTTTACCTAAGTAAGACAGTAATAGCTTGTGATGCTTTTTTGTCGTAAACTATTTTGTATCATTCAGTAATTATCGAATCTGACAGAATGTGTGGTATGAATGGTATAATGTGTGGACATTTACAAAGTGTGTATTACATTGAATCCAAGTTTCTATATTCATGATGTATCTATTTGAAATGATGAAGAATTGAAGTGTAATTATGTATGATGATTTTTTAGTTGGCTTTCTGGTAATTCTTGGTGTCTCCATGGGGCTAGTACTTCAAATACAACCGGCTTCACAACCTCCAACATTTTACAGCGAGGACAGCAACCTCCAGGAGCTGATGGACTTAGCCTACAACTTAAGCAGTAGCAACATCCACTGTTCTTATTGCTCTGGTTTCTACCAGTCTCTGCCTCAGGTAATCCCCGGAAGTTCTCCGACAAAAGCACCATCAGATCACGGTAAGAAAGTTGCGACAGAGGTTCCGTCGTCTGCCGGAGTCACGCATGATGTTCATCGGAATGTGGTCACTAATTTTCCTCACATAACTTTGTTGAAAACGGCTAACGCGACATCTCGTGCTACAACAACAGCACGTAAGTCTGCTGCAGTCACGTATGATGCTCATCGGAATGTGGCCACTAATCATTCTCACATAACCTTGTTACCAACAGCTAAAGCGACCTCACCTGCTACGACAACTGCACGTAAGTTGGGTACGGCATTAACACCAAGAGAATGAGCCAAGGGAAGGGAGTGGGGCAAATATGAAGGATTAAAGTCACTAGCCTAATTACTTGATGGTGTACAACTTGGCCTTTCAATCAATTGTGTCTGTATCATACTGAAGTGGTGCACAAGATAAAGATGCTTAATATTGGGCAGTGGCGGGTCTAGGGGTGGGCGGGGGGAGTGCCCGCCCCTCCAAAAATTACTCCTTCCCCCCCCCCCACCAGACACCCTTTCAGAAATAACTAACAAGAAGTTAAAAATCACCTAAAATCACCTTATTTTGCGAGTTAGCACCCCTCAACTGAACATCGAGCCCCGCCCCACTTCACCTTCGCCCCCCCCCCTTTCAGCACCCCCTTTTCAAGACTTCTAGATACTTCACTGATGTTGGGTATAGACACCTGACAGAGAGATCGTTGTGGGGAAAAATTTGTGATAATTCTATCTACTTAACATAAGGGTTATTCAACTAACTAGCTTTTAAGGCCGTTATAATTTGTGAGCTAACACTCAAGATGTAGTCTGACTGCATGATCCATTGTAATTGTATTCATGTCTTGTATTTAATAACTGCTAAATGTTTTCATTCGTAACATTCCTACCACGTTACTTATCATTGTGTTGCCCATACTTATATCACTAACATTGCATTTATAACAGCGGTTCTCAAACTATGGGTCCCGACCAAAAATTGGGTTGCCAAATAAATATGAGTATTGCGATTTCCTTTAGGATGATTTTAAAATTTTATATCATGATAAAATTTGCTGTTCGCAAAGAGAGCTCATTCTATAAGTATAATTTAAACATCTTAATTCAATTTTGAAAAAATCTGTTTTTGAACATTTCAGGAAGTGTGTCGTTGCAAATTTCCGGGAAATTTGTTTTGGCTGTGAGCCAAAAAGTTTGAGAAGTGCTGATTTATCATCACTACTCATGTTGTCCTAATATCATTGTTTTGTATATCACTCTCTTGAATGGGAGAGGAACTATTAGAGTCTCATTTCATTTCTTTTATTTGTTTGTCTCAAAGACCCCAGGGAATGCTTCAGTCTCTGCATTGTAACCCCTAAAACAAACAACAGATAACAGGAAAGAGTGATGGCTTTTCTTGATGGTATAAACACTCACATTTCAAATTGCAGGATTTAGAGTGAACTTCCTAAATTATTCAAAGAACATCTAAAAATATCTATACTAATATTTAAATGTTCAGAATAATATTTAAAACAATAACATTTTTTATGATACTGGTAACAGGAACAGGAAAGAGCGATGATTTTTCTTGATGATATAAACATTCACATTTCAAATTCCAGGATTTTGAGTGAACTTCCTAAATTATTCAAAGAACATCTAAAAATATCTATAATATTTAAATGTTCAGAATAATATTTAAAACAATAACATTTTTTATGATACTGATCATAAGTGATAATCATAATATCATAATAATAGTCTAATGTTTCTTTATCTCGTTTATGTACAGTAAAAAAAACCTGCTATGATATTGTTTGTCCGAATACACAACGATGTCATATGTCTGAGAAGTCTGAGCCCGTTTGTTCGTGTGACTTTCACTGTAATACCGTTGGACCGGAGATCTGCGCCTCAAACGGCATGACATATACCAATGAATGCTTATTCAAGCAAGTCAAGTGTGAGATGAACCGGAAAATGACGGTGGTACACATTGGGAAGTGTGTCAATGGTAAGTGCGCAATGATATGGCGATACATACAAGTGAATTGCCCTTTTGAACACAAATCAAAAAAAGATCAATCAAAAATTAGTGCACCATTGGGGATAGGAAAATAACATTGGAAGTTGCAGTGATGACATCACGATTGACTTATAATATTAATTAGTGTGGGTGTGAAAGCGTTGGAGGGTGTGTGTATTATTATGTGGGTGTGTGTGGTACAGCATAATTCATTTCCTAAACAGTCGGTCACTGAACCTTAGTAATCGACACTTAATTAGATGTAAGAAGTTATCATTAACTGCACCTTCGTAATTAAATAGTGTTGAGGTGCTGAATTAATCTGTAAATACTAATAGTCTTGTAAAGTACTTTTACAACTAAATGTAATATGTAGTTTGTGCAATTCGATGGGATTTTTACCAGGTGGTGTGAAGCGGTTTACTTAAGTCAAAACAATTATAGTACATTATAATTATATTTGTATCTAATAGTAGTATCGAAGGGAAGTGCTGTTAAGTTACATACATCTTTTATAGTTCACCATGGATATTGTTCTGACAATTAATCTGAGGTGTTGATTACTGGGCGGGTTTGACCCTAAACTTAAAATTCAGTCTCATTATCATAATGCACTACGGCATGTCAGAACAATATCTATTTCCTTAATAGTTAGCCTCCCCAGAGAAGGCAATATCTATTTCCTTAATAGTTAGCCTCCCCAGAGAAGGCAATTTCTAGGAGGGTTTTCTTTTTTCCCAATGTTCTTCTTCATGTTTTCAATGATGTTAGAAAATTCATACTATGGTAACTCCAATTTGATAGCCCTGAATGGTTTCCAAATGGCAGAATATAAGATTGCATTAGGATACAGCTTCTTGCTACCTGTGTGATTATGCTAATTGTCATTTACATAATGATTACTTAATTGTTAAAAGTTACCTGGTACAGTAACATCTCCCAATTATGAACCTCTTGATTTTACAAACCAATTCGCAACGATGACATCATTACAAACGATCGTTTTTAACTACAAAAACACTTGAAATTGTATTCAAAAGTCTTTAAAAATAATATAAAATGTTATATCAAGTAAGAAAGAAAATATTTAAACCAATAAAGTGACATAAAACTAAGTTTAAAGCAAGACATATCGTTCGTTTTTAGCCGAGATATATTACATTTGAGCTGTGCATGCATGTTCAGGTTCAAGCATACTGTACACTAAATCTCCCTTTTTGTTCATTGGGGCGCTATTCGCATGGATTGCGATTTTTAATGACACTCGTTTTGGCCATTATTGTGTCATGTTTACATTCAAAAATCACTTCAAATAAATACTTCACAGTGAGCACAGGTAATTTTTGCTTCCGTAAAGTATTATTTTGTTGCCGAAAACATTAAAATTAAAGTCATTTTTTGTGACAAAATTTTGCTCCCATGGCAAGGCTTCTAAAGGCCTACCTAACCATGTATTTTATAGCATGGCCAAGGCCTACCCTCACCACACTGAGGTGCTATGAAAATTCTAACTCTCTGAATTACGAATTTTCTCAATTACAAACTCTGTTAGGACGAAGGGGTACGTAATCAGGAGATGTTACTGTAATGATTAATAGCCTACCATTGTTAATAGTAGTGTTTTTTATCTAAGTTTGATTCAAACTTCTAATTACTGAATTTATTGCAATCAGTTTGGTATTTATATTGTATGCATCCTTATTTCAGAGTCTCCTAATCCACCACAATACATTCCTACATTCGGGCCACCTCTTGTTCCACCAGGGAAAAATCGTGATGGAAGTGGTGAGGATGAAAATAGTTCACCTGGAAAGGGATATAATCCATGCCAGGGAAAATCCTGCGGAGATGCAGCACAGAGGCCAATCGTAGACAGTATGGCTATGGTATATGTGGTATTCGGGATAGAGGGCATCAACAACGAGAACAAAACTAATGGGAAGCACGTTCTTGATGAAAATAAGGTATGAAGATTTGATTTTTACTCTTTTGTGTTTTTTATTTAGTCTGTCGCTAATTTTTAAAATCCTCATCTTTATTTTTATTAGTCATTTATTTTTTTGTTTGTCATTTCTTTTTATATTCATGCATTTTTTCTATTCTCTTACTGTTGTGACGATACAACTACATGTTCAGAAATATAATTAAATATTATTGCATTTTTAATTAATAATATGAAAATAAAAGCATACATATTATTGTATGAGCCATATGCAACTCTTTCAAAATGTCATTTTTTTTTAAAGGGCGAGGTAATATACACAAGTTCATTTAACTTGTTGGATGGAGATACGATTCAAGCACTTTGCCGAATATGTCGCGAGTTGGGTACAAATCAGGACCTGGTCTCTGAAGGGGGTGCAGAATGTTTTCCAAGCAATATGGGTAATTTTATATTTGCATTCAAAAATTAATAATTGATTATTCTTAAATATTATTACAGTTATAATATTTGGGCCATTGATAATGGTGATGCATATAAATATGAAGATGATGATTGTGGTGATTGTTAGCTTTTCTGATGATGATAATATAGGTGCTGGTTGTGGTGATCATGATGATGATGCTATTGGTGGTGGTGATAATGATGATGATTATATATACTTTTTTATTCAGAGGATGTGGTTCCTCCTATTGGAGAATGTAACAATCTTCCTGCGGCACGATTATTGAAAGGGCAACATTCCAAAAGTGCCATCGGCATAGATAAAGACAAGAACCCAATCTGGTATACAATGGCTTTTGAATCTGTAAGTATTAACAAGTTATTAAAAACCTGTTTTCGCAGAGAGCTATGAAAATTGTTGTATGACAACTGTTGTGCTCTTTGTAAATGGATTGCTACAGCCTTGGCCAAGGTCCAAGAATACAACCTATAGTGTGGTTCATGGGGAGGAAATTTATGGTTTAATATGGCCCAAAATTGTGTGATTTGAGTACAATATTAGGGATTGGCAAACACAATCAATCAATCAATCAGTCAAAGAAACAGATATTTTCTTAAAATTGAAATACTGTACAATGTAGAGTGAGGTAAAAGATATTGAAGAAGGCATAACCAAAAAAGCAAAAGCTTGTCTTAGGCATGCCTAGATAAGATGGCAAAAAAAAATATATATAAAAAATATAATAAATAAATAAACTTTATTTGAATTGACAAATTAGTATGTCTGATGATCTTGTTGTAGCGTCGAATGTTGGGTTGGTGGTGTCTATGCTTTCAACAGAGGAAGTTTTTCCCCCTGACCCCCTTCCCACTGGCAGGGGACAGGAGATACCAGTATATTTATACTGTATTTGAACAACTTGTGTATTAATATTATTGAAACACACAGAGTGAAACAGCTTTGCCTACAGTATATGTAGAGTACAGAATGGTCCCAACAAGTAAATTATTAAAATATAATCTCTTATTTTGCAGAAAATTTACATGGGAAAATCCTCCTTCTTGGCCTACAATGATTACCTCCTTTGGGAAGCTGCAATCCAGGAGCAAGTAGACAAGCTTAGCCCAACAGAAGCTCCTCAACTAGGCTCAATGTTCCAGACATGTGAATACTGGCAGCAAGTTTTTATGGAAATTATTGGAGTCACTAGTGCAGTGTATGGCCTCGCATTCTCATTGCTTGTCTGCATAGTTGCTGTGGTGATATTCACTGGCCATATTGTTCTATTGTTTATTGTATTGATGACAATATTTGGTATGTTGTTACAGCTCTATACTAATTATTTTTATTTTTATTTCAAATATATATAATCATAAAATATCAAACAATTCATAAAATACGATAGAGCAGCTTGGTGGTTTAGATGTTTACCCTCCAGTACAAGGATCCCGGGTTTGAAATGCCAGTCTAATAAAAAACTGTTATTTTAATGGACCAAGGTGTGACCATTCTGCTATGGCCACACCTTAATGGACCATTCTGCTATGGCCACACCTTGGATATTGTTGCTAGGGTCTCACAAAAGGTCAGTGTAAAAGTACATGCACAGTGTGGAAACGGTTTGGCGCAGCGGAAACGGTTTTGTTTCAGAATCTTGACGTCGGGATTTCAATCCATTGCTGTGTATTTCGCTTGTGTCCTTGAGCAAGGCATTTTATCTATGTTACTTCTCTCCACCCAGGAGTATAAATGGGTACTTGAGGAAGTTGGAGTGTAAAATGCGCGGATATATTTCATGCGGCAAACTAGAATTTACCCCATAGGCATCATTCCAATAACTGGGGTAATAATGTGGAAAAGCTCTCTAAGACTTATGTGTTGAGCGCTATATAGTTATTATTATTATTATTATTATTATTATTATTATTATGTGCATTGGTGGGACAACAAATGTTTGCGCTACAAGTATGTTTTCCCGGTCATTTTCTGATTGGTTGGTAGAGTTTGCTTGTCACTCGGCCGTTCTGACTCTTGTTATGTATTTATGATGACAACATTCCTTCTTACATTGTTCCATGTCTATCTGTAGGTGTCATTCTTCTGGTCGTGGCAATGTTCTACTTAATGGGTTGGCAGATGGGTGCAGTAGAGGCAGTGTCGTTATCTATCCTAGTGGGGTCATCGGTTGACTATTGTGTCCATTTAGTTGAGGGGTATCTGATGGCAGGTGAGCTTGCCCCAGCCAGTATAAAATCAGTAAGTATTTTTTTACATTAATTACACGGCAAACATATAAATCAATTTTTTCTATATATTATGGAGAATTGTAAAACTAATATCTTTTGTACAACGTTGTATTTTTTTAGGATAACAAGGCTCTTCGCAGTTGGCGTACATCTCAGGCAATTAGCAGCATTGGCGTTTCCATTTTCAGTAGCGCCCTCACCACTATTATTGCAGCTGTTCCACTCTGCTTTACGATCATCCAACCGTTTTCAAAATTCGGTAAAATAGTCGCGATGAATACGTTTCTATCTATCCTGTACACGATGACAGCGTGTGCCGCATTCCTGAGCTGTTTTGCCCCTGCAAAATATAAATGGAGCCTAAAGTGGTTTATCGTTTCCAGCCTCATTGTGATTGTCTTAATCGGTGCAGGAATTGGTGGTTTGTATGGGCTACACCTAAAAGGTGTTAAAATTCCAGGGCCTTCAGGCTCTGAACTATTTTAAAGTCTTATAAAGTGGTTAGTGCAATTTTATGTGCAAATAATTCCAGATAGCAACTCCTATTTTTTTTTAAAGACTGCATATTATTCGTAAACATCTTAGTTGTGATTTGAAATTTATAATTTTAAGAAATAATCCATTTCACAACAGTTGTAGAATATTTTTTTATGTTTTTTTAAAAATAATTTACTAATTTTTGTTTTCTATCATCTTAAGTACCAATGAGTTTAATTTCACATTAAACACATAAATTAATTGATTAATTACATAACAGATGTCAACTATTTTAAAAATTATTTTATTCAGATTTATTCATCTTTGTTAAAAAAAAACAAAAAAACATACAGGCCTGAGGTAATGTTGAGGTTTACAATAACATCAGTTAATTAATTATTTGCTCACTTATTGAATTACTGGTTATTCAGGGATGCCCTATGTTTTGAAGTTTAATTTACTTGGCTTCCAAGTGCTGAGTATTGAGTCCACATCTCAGCAACAGGGTTTCTTCATAAACCTTTGATTAAACGTCTTTAGAGCACTGATAATCATACCCACATAATCATCGTAGCTTTAAGATTCAGCCTTTTCATTGATATAAGGTATTGTAAGAAACAACCTCAATTACGTAGATTTCTATGTTAATAAACTCTCATTCTTTTTACAGCACAAAGTATTTCATTCATAATGCATCATACATATTCAGAATGTTTATAGCAAATTCTACAATTAAAGGTGATTTAGATGAACATATTTTTTAATGGTTATCAAAATATACATACATTAGCAATATAAAAATATGCATGTGTGTTGTTTCACAATTTATGAATATGTATGTGGTGTTTAGCAACTCATGAATATGCATATATAAGTTAGGCTATGAATACTTATGTAGGCTGTAGCAATAAATATGCATATGCATATGTGGCATTTAACAATTAATATATATTTGGTTGTACTATAAATATGCATATTTGGGGTTAAAACTAATGAATATACATAATATGTACAGGTGGTGTATATGAAAATAATTACATACAAGAGAAGAACAATAACATTGAAAATGTGAAGAACAGTGAACAATGAAAGCAGCTAATGGTTTATATACAGTAATTGTGTATACAACAATATTTAATATTATATTGTGCAATCACAGTAGTGTTCATGAGTATTCATCAGTTACCTGATGAATACTCATTAGTATGCGTGCATAGCAAATATGTATTAAAATTCATTGTGATTTTTAAGAAAAATTCAATCACATTAGGCTTTAGGGAAACATAACTGATTGATGAAATTTATACTAATGGTAAATTTTTGATTACTATGTTTATTGGATAATTTATAACAATGTTGGAGTTTCAGTATACATTAGTGTGAGTGGACCTCTTTTCATGAGCCAATATTCATGACCTGTTGGTTAATAAGATTATATTGTTAATTTTCCAGCTGCATTCTTTGGTAACATATTAGCAAATCCTATGCTTGTGTGGGCTGCATACTACCATATTAATTTAATTGTCTCAAAGCTCTCCTGTTTACGAAAACTTAATGCGGATCACGGTTTTTAAGTCTTCAATTTAGGTTTTTAATATGTTTTAATAAAATTATTTTTATTGTGGAACTGGGTTTAAATGGTCTGTTACAGGGCTGACTTCGCTTAAGAATTATCAACACACAATATGTTGTAGGCTATTAAAGGAGGTTACGATTAGAGCAAGATATATATTTTTTGAAGAAAACATTTTTTTTGAAAAAAAAGGTTTCCCCCTTTTTTTAGGAAAGAACAATGTGCATGAATTTACTAATGCATGCAGGACCTTTGAGACAAACAGTTAAAATAATATGGCCTTATATAAAGAGTAATATTTTTTTTATATTTTTCAAATATTTATGTCTATTTTTGCTGCACTGTATATTCTCCTATTTTGGTACAAGATCAAGTAAATTATTTAAGAAATTTGTTATGAAAAAATGGCTTGCTTTGTATAGTTGATTTTATATACTTTCATACTACTGTATATGTTATTAATTTTGATAATATAATGAATATATAGCATAATATTAATTGTAATATATTACATACATGTGATATATTATATACAAACATAACTTCCAGGTTAAAAAATTGTCCCAATGGTATTTCGTATACTATAGAAATTGATATTTAAAACTATGGGACGCTGTCATGTTTTAAAGTTTATCTGTTTATCTAACTGCTCAGCTGCTTATATGCTTCCCCACCAATAGTTTTTTAATGTTTGAGGTAAATATGATAAAGAGACGAAGTAGTTATTTTCTTTTTCATCTGTGCATTATTAAGAGTATTTGTGTTGAGAGGTATTAAATTTTTTTAGTGAAGTTAATTTTTGGCGAGTTTTTAAGTTTGTCGTATTGTTCATGTATGCTATATATAATGGTTTTGTTGAAGCAGCTAATAAAAATATCAACACAGAAATTAGTTGACAAGGGTCAAGTTGGTGTATGGTCAGAGCAAATAGTGTATTGTAAAACCTGGAATTGAAGCCCCCTCTTTATTTTGCAAAAGAGCCTCAAAAAGAAGCCTATTTCAAGATAGCATGGGCTTTTTTTTTAGATATTACAATACATGAATTTCAAAAGAAACAAAATAAGTTTGTCGTATTGTTCATGTATGCTATATATAATGGTTTTGTTGAAACAGCCAATAAAAATATCCACGCAGAAATTAGTTGACAAGGGTCAAGTTGGTGTATGGTCAGAGCAAATAGTGTATTGTAAAACCTGGAGCCTCAAAAAGAAGCCTATTTCAAGATAGCATGGGCTTTTTTTTCGAGTTATTACAATACATGAATGCACATGAATTTCAAAAGAAACAAAATAAATTTAAAACATGCATGGTTTATACAGTAGTTTATGGTGATTTAATGGCAGTTTAATACACTCTATATCACAACACATAAAAGCAGTAAACATTTAAATAAATAAAACTTTCAAATACAGACAAAATGAGGCTTATGTCATAAAAGTAAAAAACGCAAAATAATAATAATAATAATAATAATAATAATAATAATAATAATAATAATAATAATAATAATAATAATAATAATAATAATAAAACACTTAAAAATATAGACAAATGAAGCATCTAAATAATTCGGCATATATCGGATGTGTAAAAAAAAAACGCGATTAAAACATTAAAACATCAAAGCGGGAAAAAGAGCACATGGCAATATTCGATTTGCCTATTGGGACAATTTTGCTTGCATTGTCAAGAACTGTTTTGGTACTTCTCATTGTCGTTTTGGTCTGTTTGCCGTTTTGGTCATTGCAGTTTTGACCTGCTACATTACTCTTTTACTTTGCCTCGAAAAGAAGCCCATCCAATGCCAAAAAAAGAAGCCTAGGTCTTAGGTCGGAGTTGCGAAGGGCATAGCTGACTTTCGAGTGAACTGTGTGTGCATTGAAGCGATCAGAGATAAAGTATAGGCCTAGTATTAAGAAGGACCTGTTGTGCAGTGATGGTGAGGAAGGTAGGCAAATATTTTATAGGCCACATTAATTACTATAGACTCTATGACTGTATTATTTTGCTACATAGGTCTAGGCATAGCTATGTTTTTATGTCTTCGTGCATAGCTATGCTAAGTTATTGAAAGCCCATTTTTAAGAGAGGCTAATAATAATATTATGCAGGCCCTATTTGTAGGCCATCATGATGCCTTGTTTGAAGATGCAGCATCATGTCATCATGTAGGCGCGCCTAAGCCTGGTCATGCCATAAATAGATAGAATCAGACCAACGACCAAAGACTACTGGAAACATATTTTATTATTTTATTTTATTTTTATTATTTTATTCTTTCTTTCGACTAGATAGCATTTTCAGTATCGCGGTGCTGCTTTTCAAAATGATCCAGTTTTCTTAACAAAGTTAAGAATATAAACAGAAGTAAAAGTATATATTAAACAGAAAAAAAGTATCATAAATAAATGAAAAAAGGGGTCGCCCTGCTATGATGCAAGATCATCATTTACCAAGCATGGCAAAACAGTATGAATCATTGAGAATATTCCATAGAGATATAATATTAATAAGAATAGCTCTATGGAATATTCAAATTTCCCTTCCACACTTTAATGTAAACAGCGCCCTCATTTGGATGATGTAACTGTTAATATCATCAAAGAGTATAAAACTGCAAGAGGTTGCACTGCCGGGGATTCTTTGGAACGCAATCCTATTTCAAAAAGTACTACCCAAAAGGGGCATCATGGCCTTAACAAACGTTCGATGTTCGAACGTGTGCTGCGTGCATGTTCAAATTCGAATAGGCCCCCTATGTCGTGGTAGTACTTTTTTAACGTTTCATTGCCTGCATACAAAATCATGGCAGTGGGACCTCTTGCAGTTTTATACTCTTTGATATCATATTGTATTTATTAATAGTTTTTAAGATAACACCGTGAGTTATCAATACATTCATTGATGATAACTGAGAAGTTAGCTGTTTTTGGTTACATCTGAGATGTGTTAGCGTGATTCCTGTGGAGATGGCTTTTCACCTCTGCCCTTGAGATTGAAACCTGATACTAATTAACTATTATTATGATCAATTATGTTTAATAAACAAACAGTCGGGTAAGTAAAGAAAATAAACACAATGGCCACCAAGTTATTTTCATTGAGATTGATTCAAACAAAAGTTAACATATTTGTTTTAAAGTATTTCAATGTTGAATATTGGATTTTCTTATTTAGATTCCAATTAGGTTAAATAAAAAAAAATATACTGTTATATTCGTTAGTGTTTTATTTTTCTTTCATGTCGCGTATATTTTTTAATCTTAATAAGCTGTCATTTATTCACTGTAGGTTTTGATGTGTTAAATTGTATTGTGATGCTTTTTTAATGTCATTTATATTTCTAATGTCTATTATATATTGAGTTCTGATTTCTTGTAAAGTAAATTTCTAATTTTAAATTTCTGTACAACGCCTGTGAACATTCTAAATGGATGTTGCTTGCACTTTATTAAATAAACTTATTATTTTCACTAGTTTCTCAACCCCTCGCGCATCCATTTTCTCTGCCTCATCATTTTTTAGAAATTTCCATTATTTTACGAATGTATAAAAATTTTTCTAACTCGCATCAGTGAAATTCCTCTTATCGTTCATGGTTGAGATACGTATAGTATGAATCATGTGCTTCTTTTATTTTATTTGCTTTCAATGTGTCTACTTCACTAATAGTGAGAAAAGTAGGACCGATAGATGTTTCCCATTGAAAAAAAGTATCATAAATAAATGAAAAAAGGGGTCGCCCTGCTATGATGCAAGATCATCATTTACCAAGCATGGCAAAACAGTATGAATCATTGAGAATATTCCATAGAGATATAATATTAATAAGAATAGCTCTATGGAATATTCAAATTTCCCTTCCACACTTTAATGTAAACAGCGCCCTCATTTGGATGATGTAACTTAATATCATCAAAGAGTATAAAACTGCAAGAGGTTGCACTGCCGGGGATTCTTTGGAACGCAATCCTATTTCAAAAAGTACTACCCAAAAGGGGCATCATGGCCTTAACAAACGTTCGATGTTCGAACGTGTGCTGCGTGCATGTTCAAATTCGAATAGGCCCCCTATGTCGTGGTAGTACTTTTTTAACGTTTCATTGCCTGCATACAAAATCATGGCAGTGGGACCTCTTGCAGTTTTATACTCTTTGATATCATATTGTATTAATAGTTTTTAAGATAACACCGTGAGTTATCAATACATTCATTGATGATAACTGAGAAGTTAGCTGTTTTTGGTTACATCTGAGATGTTAGCATGATTCCTGTGGAGATGGCTTTTCACCTCTGCCCTTGAGCTTGATACCTGATACTAATTAACTATTATTATGATCAATTATGTTTAATAAACAAAAAGACAATGGCCACCAAGTTATTTTCATTGAGATTGATTCAAACAAAAGTTAACATATTTGTTTTAAAGTATTTCAATGTTGAATTTTGGATTTTCTTATTTAGATTCCAATTAGGTTAAATAAAAAAAAATATTGTTATATTTGTTAGTGTTTTATTTTTCTTTCATGTCGCGTATATTTTTAAATCTTAGTAAGCTGTCATTTATTCACTGTAGGTTTTGATGTGTTAAATTGTATTGTGATGCTTTTTTAATGTCATTTATATTTCTAATGTCTATTATATATTGAGTTTCTGATTTCTTGTAAATTTCTAATTTTAAATTTCTGTACAACGCCTGTGAACATTCTAAATGGATGTTGCTTGCACTTTATTAAATATTTCTAATGTTTATTATATATTGAGTTTCTGATTTCTTGTAAATTTCTAATTTTAAATTTCTGTACAACGCCTGTGAACATTCTAAATGGATGTTGCTTGCACTTTATTAAATAAAGTTATTATTTTCACTAGTTTCTCACCCCTTCGCGCATCCATTTTCTCTGCCTCATCATTTTTTAGAAATTTCCATTATTTTACGAATGTATAAAAATTTGGCTAACTCGCATCAGTGAAATTCCTCTTATCGTTCATGGTTGAGATACGTATAGTATGAATCATGTGCTTCTTTTATTTTATTTGCTTTCAATGTGTCTACTTCACTAATAGTGAGAAAAGTAGTACCGATAGCTGTTTCCCATTGACCATCTTGCATCTTGGAGTAACAAAAAAAAAGTTTTCAAAATTTAGGGTGAGAAAGTACCTTTTTTTAACTTGGCCTTAACAGTGAATATTAATTCATAGTGAAATTAATTTATTGTGTTGCGATTGAATGTGGAATGTAAAAATAATTTTTCATAGCAATATTATACAAGAATGCAATGATTCTCCAGCGAAGGTTGTCCAAGCACAACCTTCCTTATAATAATCATAATTATTGGTAACAAATGTTTCCTGTGTGACTTGCCACTCATCTGGAATAACTTTCCAGTGCACATTCATTCTTCGTCGTCTGTTGCTGTATTTAAGTCTAACTTACCTCACCTCTTTATAATCATCATTTTTATTTTTATTTCATTCTGTTGCATTATTTATTTATGATTCTGAACTTTGTCACTGTTTCTTTTGATTTGTTTACTTGTTCTGTGCTTGGGTTAGGCAATTATCATGACTGCCTGTGGTTGGGAGGAGCCTAAGTATGTGGGGTGCAGCGCTTCATATCTGCAAAAAAAGGCGCTTTATAAATGACCTGATTGGATTGGATTGGACCATTAGCATCATCATCATCATCTTGCTCCTTGTTAGCCTGTTACGACCAACTGCTGGATGTAGGCCTCTCCATCAATTTTTGTAGTCTACTACTCTATGTGCCCCCTGCCTCCAGTCATTGCTACTGAATTTTCTGATGTCGTCACGCCGTCTGTTTGGTCTCCCTTTCCTCTTGTGAAAGTGGCATCATTATCATCGTCATCATCATAATAATCATCATCATCATTATCATCACAATTTACAATATTCATCAATATCGTATTCATAATCATCATCACCACCATCATCATCAACGTCATCTTCGTTTTCATCACTGCTACCACAATCATCGTCTTCAACAACATCAACATATCAACATGATTATCTCTGTAACCATGAATATTATCTGCTGTACTAACCCCTATTAACAAGCACGGCCATTCTGTGGCAAAACAACGTAATTTGAAATTTTCACTTTTGAAGAAAAATAGAGTTAAAGTTTGCATGTTTGCAACTTGGTAATAAATTGTCGTACCCTTTTGAAATTTTGCAGGATTGTATATCTATATATATTGTGATTATATGTAAAATTTTAATTACAACCATTTGTTTATTGCAAAGCTATTAGCGATATTCACAGGATACGTTGTTTTGCCCTGGAAACATGTCAGACTTGGTGTTGTTGCAAATGGGACATATTTTTGGAATTTATCATGTTTCGGAGCAATCATGCATTATTTAACTTGTTTATACGTTGCTGTTAAGATTATTGATATGGAAACACCAATAACCAGTTGATTTTGCCTTGCCAAACTCCATCAGCTCAAAACAATTTTTGATTACCATTCCGAGGCAAAACAACGTATCTTCATCGTAGATACGTTTTTTTTGCCCCGTAATCTTGTAGTTGCGTTGTTTTACCACGGAAAATCACCAGATTTTAAGTTTTGTGCTAAAAGATAGGTGGTGCTATCTCCGAAACGACTCATTATTGAGACCTTGAAATTTTCACAGGTAATTCATACGTGTTTAATATACTCCTAACTGATATTATCTCAAAATTGACAAAATGTCAGTTACCTTGTTTTGCCTCGGGACGGCTGAGCAGGTGAGATCCTACTAACCCCTATTAACAAGCACATGAGATCTCTGCTGGGTAGTAATTGCTCTCTTTTAAAAAAAGCATGAAATCTGTTATGATGTTGAATAGTAATTCTGTGTTGGGTGATCACGTTTCTTGGCGAGTTCACTCAGATAAGTAATCCATTTGATGATGTCGTTGAAAGGCTGACAATAATTTAAGTTCATTCTACTTAGAGATTACAGATGATGTCCAATTTCTAACTGCCTGTTTATCTGCATCTTAAAACCTTAAATGTCGTCAGCTGCTGCATGAAATCCCTACTGGATATGGTCAGTGGAGTTCAAGTTACAAAGTACTGTACAGTATACTGTTATGAAAACATTTTTAATAAGTTTGTCAGTGATATGCTATCTGTGCTAAAATAGGAGGTGGGAGTGGAAATTGCAATAAATCATTTTAGTTGCTCATTAATAGTAATTTTCAGTGAAATATAGATTTTAAAATTTGTTTTTACAACCAAATTCCTTAAAATTAATTACTGGTCAATTTAAGGACAAATGCAAAAGAATATGGAACTGTTACTATATTGATATGAGAATTTTAATTATTCATTCTAATTTTCAGTCGAAAACTAATAACTTTTAATAAATAAATATAAAAAGTAAGCAGTTTAAGTGGGTGCTTAATTTCATCATCAATAATGCTAACAGGTCAAACTCAACTATTGAATTTAATATTTAAACTTTCTTTATTTTCATAACAGACAGAATATGCTATGACAATGTAATTCCTCCATATTTCAGTTTAGGTGCTAGCTTGATGTTTTGGGGTTTTTTTTGTTTGTTTTTGCTTTCTTGATTATTCTTGCAAGTTGCTTTTAGACTGTGGAATAATTTGCTAGATAAATCAAATTACATTGACTTTTTTCAAACTGAAGAGAAACCACTGATTTTGAAATATATGTACATCACACCCATACATTGGCAAATCAAATGTATTTGTCAACTAAGAGATCTACCATATCGAATTTTTCAAGGGATTTTCAATGTTTTACACTGCCAGAAACTTAAGGGTACGATTAAAATTATATCAACACAAATGAGCAAAGATTGTAAGTTATGAATAACCATGGTGTCATAAACGTTAACAAAGGCCCGAAGCAAGATTAAAAGATGTAGTGACAACCTATTTAGAGTCACATCATGTCTACTGTAAATTCATCCGAGGCTTTTATAAAAGCGGAATGATAGTTTAGCCTGAAGATCATTTAAATATCCATCAATGTTACATTATAGAAAGTCCTTTAAAAATGTTCATTTACATAATGTAACATGTACAGGACTCCCTCCAATTGAAGGCCCCTCCAATTACAGTATGTGTTACCTTTCTGCTACCCCAAATGAGCATCTGTCTTATAATTTTTGTAATTAAATAGACTATGAAACATTGGTCTCAAAGGAGCTCTTTAATTGAAAGGAGATATGTATATTGAATGTCTTAGAAGGATAATTAATCTAGATTACATAATGGTATTCATCCTTAATATCATCCTCAGCTCTTCTCAACAATTATAGAATTTTTGAAGGTATCATACCACGTCTGAAACTCGTTCATGCACAATGGCATGTAACGTGTCTTAAATACTGTATTTATTCGAATAAATGCCCTGATTTGAATAAACACCCCCTCGAATAATCTTCCCCTGTGGAGCCTCATTTGGATTAAACGCCTCCCTCAAATTTGAATAAATGCGGTATACATTAGTTAGAAGTGTAGATGGTATGCCATATATGATGTTCATTCTCAATGTTTTAATTATACTCTGGTCTTTGCAAGATAACAGAAATAATATCACTATACAATGTCTGTTACTAGCCTTCTACATCATGAGATGTGACATGCATATTAAATATCTTGGATGTGCAAATAACCTAGACACTGAGGTGATTCAGTAGGCTCAATATTTACTGTATTCTCTAATAATATCTTTGCAACATAATAAAATGATAGATAGCAATTAATTTCTCTTTGTTCTGTGTCCTACAAAAAGCTATTTATAATATTTAATATCATCATTAGGAATGATGTTTTACTCAGCCTGACATCCACCGTATTACTCACTTAATTTGCTTCCGAAAAAAAATTGCAAGTGATTCGGATGGGAATTCAACCCTCAACCTTCGGATATTAACTAGTCTAGTTTCATTCCAATAGAACCACTGTACCAGCGAACTTGCGCTAGTGAATTCAACCCTAATCGCGTGGTCTAATGAAAATTTATTTAATAACATTTTATTTTTAGTTTGTTATTGTTATTTATTTATCGTATTTTAAATTAATTGTTATTTTCACCAAAATTATCAGATCTAGTATGTAATAATCATACAAAAATGATAATAAGTACTTTAAATTTATAATTGATGATGTCTGTCTAACAGGTATTTACCAGTTTGCTCTTTTCCAATTATAGCCACTTTATGTCTTGCAACCTTTCGTAATTAAACCACTCCATTTTAATAAGCATAATTTTTCGTAAAAGCAACCCTTGCATTATATCAATTGAGATTATAATTGAACAAAACTGCACCAGCCATCATGTATTATCGAGACAACAGACTAAACCATTCTATCCGCTGACTTTCTGAAAAATTAATTTATTTATTGGACAAATCCAGTCGAGCATAATGTAAGAAATGTCTGGATATCAGAGACTAAAATATTAATATTCATTATAGGCAGTTTATTGACTGGAGTCAGTGAAGCATAACCAGTCAACTAATCAATGTGTGATGTGCACTCTTGGCAGCGATGGGGACATGTATTGAGATGCGTTTAAAAGAGGTAGATAAGCACATCACACAACTTGCCTTCTGCCTGCCTTCGATGCTGTTCACGTAGAACACACGCAAGGACGTTCACACTCTTAAGATCTCCACGCGTGTTATATCTCACTGGATATTAGCTGTCCTAGGTAAGTGAAGTATTAATAGAACTTAATTTTTAACCCTCGCGAAGTTGCCAAGGTTTAGCACTCATTAAAATATTCTGGTTATCGTAGCGACCTCAGCGAAGTGTTGATACATTGATTAGCTAATGCCAGTTTCTTCAGAAATAGTGAGTGATAAAATGCGAACACCACATAAGCTTCTGTCTACTTACTAGTGTTTCCAAACAATTATCTGTGAGTCACGTTCAGACGATGACTGTAAAATCCAAATATGTAATTTAATCTAATAATGCCAAACAAATGTTCTGTTTGTCATATATATTAATTTATTTGTTCAGCTCAAATATAGAAATTTGAAAGCCAATTTATATAATTATCATAGTACGTATTCTCTCCTTTGCCATTGACTTTTTTGTTTTGAAATAGAGAAAATATGCTATGGTATTTGATTACAGTTAAGGTAAATTGTGTGCTTTACCATTAAAATTTTTGTACAGAAAGGGAACTAACGACTTCCATTTCTGACCAAGAACTAAGTGTTGTCTAAGAGCTCTTATTAGTTGCCGTTTCTAAAATAATAAATTTTGGTTTTAGCTTATCAAATTTATGTCTCATCTGAGATTCACCAGTGTTTTCTAAAGCATTCGGATGCTTTTAAGCATTTTTGTCATTGGATATCCTATTCTGAGTATTTCAGGTTTACTGTATTTAGCGTTAATGATTTTGAGAATATTTATTGACAATATGTCATAATACAGACAGAAACATTAATTTCACATTAAAACAATGCATTTATAAATTGATACTACTTGATATAAATCATATACTGCCTTATTATTGCTACTGTAGTAAATGATCAAATAATTGTCTCTCTCTTGAATAAACACTGCTCTTTTAATACACATCTCACCAATCATGATTTTTTATTGCGCCAATGCTAAGTTACACGAAGAAATAATAATTACGGAATATTTACATAGATTATGAAACAATAACAGAACTAACAGTAATGGAGACACTGATAGTACCTGTAAAATAACAATAATACACCAACGATAATCATAGTGTTTATAGTGCTATTTTATAAAGATTAAATAAATAATAATAATGTGTTTATATAGAGTACTAGCAGGTGATACAGCAGGTATGCAGTTACTATGATAGTATTTATGTTAGATTTTTAGATCTCTATCTATCTAGCATAATTATGCATACATGTAACACAGCTCTATATAAGCAGTCCCAACGGGCCAATCACTGGATGGCGTCAGTTGCCGGCGCAACAATTCCAAAACATTTACCATGAAAAATGGACACGCCTCAAGTATGGGCTATTAGACCTTGTTATCAAGAAGAGGAGTAGTAACTCATAATTGTGTTGCACATTGTTTTTTCTTATGGAACAGGCCGGTTTATCAGTCCTCATAGTACAGTTAACACACATCAAATATGGTGAAATTAGGTAAACTAAAATTATTTCATGCAGTAATTTGTGTCTAAATATGCATTGCATGTTCTTTTATGTCAATTATTATGCGACTAGCCTGTAACTCACCCACCCTTGGGCAAACCTGTCATTGACATAACAATTACATTTATGTCGGATACTGTATTTTATGTGATGTACTTTTTATATGTCTATGGTGAAGTACATGATACAGTATACAGTAATTGTAGAAACATTACGATTGAAATTGTGACTTTTAAAATAATATTGGATTTATGATGTGTAAATTTAGAAACAACTCAACAGTGCCATACATTAAGGAACATATTTTAAGCTCGTATTGTTTTGTACCAAAAATGATTTTGCATTCCATATGGTTTACTTACTTATGTTTACGTTACCTAGTATAATAAAACAAGGGTGACTCCAAATAGAGAAAGTGAGGCCATATTACTCACTTATTACTATCTTATGGTTCATCAGTTATATTTGCATGTTGTAGTATTTTTGGTACTTACTCTCCCTGTTTTTATTCCTGATGATCACTAAATAAATTCGAAACGTTGAGTAATATGGCCTCACTTTCTCTATTTGGAGTCACCTTTGTTTTATTTTATTTGAACCCAGTCAGTGCACCTTTTGGTTTTACCTAGTATTACAACATGCTTTTAAAATACAAAATTGTTATTAAAAGGTATGATTCTACGAAGAACGCAGCGTCACAACATACACGCAATTGATCGTTTTTAATGACGATCTGTTTAGACTGCTGCTGACCGTCAGCAGACATCGTGTTTTCTAGCCCTCGCATCGAGCGGAATTGGATTCTTTGGCCGACGGTTGTACAATCGTACGATCGTCGTACAATGTGCAGAGTTCCTGGCTTTAGACTGTATTTCATTGTAGGTGGAAAACGTACCTGATTATTTAATTGAGCAATTCAATGTTTTAATTAGATGACTCGAGGATTGTCTGTATTTTTCAGTGACAGTAAGATCTTTCCCAAACAGAAAAGTAAATAATTTTTCTATGATAATCAGGGATTTACAGTAGTTATGGTGGGCGGGGCCACGCAGTTTTCCACCCAGTATAAAGCTAATATCATGGCCCTCCACCCACCTCTATTAACCCACTTTTCCATCCGTAAAATCTACTCTTACTGTTTTGAGTAAACCAACGTTATCACCCACCCATCCTTAAAATTTGCATTCGGAATGCGACAGAGTGGCAATGGATAGCCCTCTAAGACCTTGCGCTTGTGCCTGTTCCCTGTAGTTAAGTTGATAATTTATATTTAAGTATTTTTGAACAAAAATTTAAAAAAATGTAAATAAATAAATAAATAAAAAGAAAATTTATATGAAATTAAATAACCTTATATAATAAATGAAATGCAGAAAAGGCTGTTTCTCTTTGCAAGTTGAAATTGGCGCCACAAGCTCTGAGACGGATACGTACGCTTTACAAGATGCCATTATAATTATTATTATTAAAATGTTTATCACTCAACCTTAGTTTTCTACAGATACAACCCTGGGTAATTTATGAAAAGAAAGAGTTACATAAAATGATTAATGAATATAGTACTATTAATTACGCATATTTTAGTGGGAAAAACATCAATTTTCTAGTATCAATTGTCTAGTATTTTTTTTAAAATAATTTTTCTCTACTAAACCAGTATCGGTTTTAACAGATGCAATTTCATTTCAATATTAACAATTTGCAGCAATAAAAACTGCAGCAAAATTAAATACAATATTTGGCATTGCTACATAAATTCTACTTGCGAGCTTTGTCCAAAATAAATCAACTGCCAGCAATAAAACTTGAAATGCAGGTGGCAAAGGTGATTGGATTCTAATCCTCTTTCCATGCCTCGTATTGAGTCCAAGGCGAAACATTTTTCATACCTTGTTTAGCGAACTCGGCGCCTGCCAATAATGATAATTTCAAATAAAAACAATTTTAGTTTCGGCCAATTAGCGTACTCGCGGCCACAAAAAATTAAAATTTAAAGAAAAAATTGAAGTTTTTCTTTATTTTCATTGCGCCCACCGCTATTTTGAAATCTCAAAAAATAAGATATGCATATTTCTTACTATTTATATGAATTAAAAGCATTTCATTACTACACTGTTTACATTACACCAGCAAAATTTTATTTTTATTTTATCCCCCGTCTAGATGTTTTTGTCAAAACTATTTGCCAAATAAGAAAACAAATTTTTTTTTTTTTCCTCTGTTCTGTGACAATCTTTAAAAAAATAAGGTCGCGAAATAAAAAAAGTCTCACCTAAATGATGAGTCTATTTATTCCCAATGCAGGTGACAGTTCTTTGGCAGATACAATTTATTTCCTCAAATCTTTGTTGCATGTGTACATTGCATCTTAATCTATCTTCATATATTTACATTGGGGCAGTACCTTAGTATTATCCATCTTTGTTGAAGTATGCCATGTCTTGTCTAACAGTGGTTTTGGATTTCAGTTTTTGATTGCCAGTCTTGTGCCAAATCTATTAATGTTGATATATGCTCTACCTTTCTTCAGATTTTTTTCCATGTACATCTTCCCTCCAAAAATGTATGACCTATCTAATCCTTGTGTCTCCACTAGACATTTAGGCCTATCTGCTACTATGGCAACTTCCTTATCATCACTTCCTCCTGTCCATTAATCTCGATTTCAACATCTCGGAAGCTTTTGAAATTATCCTCCTTCCGCAATGTTTCAGAGCTTTATAAAAAATTTTCAGAATCGTCTTTCAGATCTACTACATTTCTGAGTCATATTTACAGTAGGCCTTAGGTTATGCATGACATAATTATATACACTATTTGTAACATATGCACAGTATAGTATGCTTAGACAGCAGTTAATGATATGCATAATTATTATGTTATTCAGTGAATAATTTTCACTGAATGTATATTAATGGGGTATGATAAGAAATTCATGTTTTTATTATAGTTGGAATATTCAGATGTAAACAAGCATGGTGGTACATCAGTATAATTCATGTCTTTTTTTTTGTTGGAAGATGACTGCTTCAGTGTTCAGGCCCATAACCAACTTGAGTATTAAAGACGATAAAATGGAACTGATTATTCATGTGGGAAAAGAGAGGTGTTCCAAATTTTGTGTATGTCTGGAAATACGTTATCCCAGGGCTGCAGGACCCATGACAAACATTTGAATGTTCAAAAAAAGAATATTTGTAAATTAAAATTACGGTAAATATTGTATGGTATTGGCATCATAATCATACAATTTATAAATATTTTTAATTTTGGTAAAATTCATTAAATTTAATTTGTTTATTTCCAGTTCATTTATTTATTTTAATTTAAACAATCATGACACTCTAATTAATCATGTACCGATGCTTGAATAAGTGCCGCATTCAAAGCCTCTAAAAATTTTATAAGCGCTGCTGCACTTATTTGAGCATTTCCGGTATAGTACTCAGTATAAATACCTTTTGATCTTATTCGTAATACTAATAGCTGTTAACTTCAAAAGTAAAACTGCACACAAACATATTTACTATATAATTGGACACTGAAGATACTC